CCACCGAAGGCCCCATGCTGCCGTCCGCATGCGTCCCGCACACCCATTTCGGCACACCCCTCACACGTTTCGTGGCCCCACAGGGAGCTCCACCGAAGGCCCCAGTGCTGCCGTCCGCATGCGTCCCGCACACCCATTTCGGCACACCCCTCACACGTTTCGTGGCCCCATAGGGAGCTCCACCGAAGGCCCCATGGCTGCCGTCCGCATGCGTCCCGCACACCCATTTCGGCACACCCCTCACACGTTTCGTGGCCCCACAGGGAGCTCCACCGAAGGCCCCAGTGCTGCCGTCCGCATGCGTCCCGCACACCCATTTCGGCACACCCCTCACACGTTTCGTGGCCCCATAGGGAGCTCCACCGAAGGCCCCATGGCTGCCGTCCGCATGCGTCCCGCACACCCATTTCGGCACACCCCTCACACGTTTCGTGGCCCCACAGGGAGCTCCACCGAAGGCCCCAGTGCTGCCGTCCGCATGCGTCCCGCACACCCATTTCGGCACACCCCTCACACGTTTCGTGGCCCCATAGGGAGCTCCACCGAAGGCCCCAGTGCTGCCGTCCGCATGCGTCCCGCACACCCATTTCGGCACACCCCTCACACGTTTCGTGGCCCCACAGGGAGCTCCACCGAAGGCCCCAGTGCTGCCGTCCGCATGCGTCCCGCACACCCATTTCGGCACACCCCTCACACGTTTCGTGGCCCCACAGGGAGCTCCACCGAAGGCCCCAGTGCTGCCGTCCGCATGCGTCCCGCACACCAGGTGTGTGGCGTGCCGACATGGGCGTCGCGGCGCGCGGGCGCTGTCGGGGTTCCCAGGGAAGCCCCCTGCAGAGGCGACGCTCAGAGTCACGAGTACCGAGAGTCACGCAGACCCAAACTGTTCACAGTCGTATACATACATTTACACTGGGCGTATCCATGCACGCATTCATGCGAATAGAATCAATCGCGCGCAGATTCATTCATAATCAGACTCGCTCGCGATCCGACTCGCACGCGCTCAAGCTTTCATATTCGGACCTATCGTCTTCGTTCGTGTTGTGTACACTGCCACGCATTTCGGCACACCCCTCATACGGCTCGTGGCCCCATAGGGAGCGCCACCGAAGAAGATATTCACAATTGCGGTACTCTCAACTGCATATGGATGGGTCCTTCGCCAGGCCATTATTTTTTTTCTTTTTCTTTTTTTTCCCCTCTCTCTCTCTCTCCCCCCCCTCGCTCCCACACTCGCTCCCTCTCCCCATCCCTCCCTCCCTCCAGCTCCCTCCCTCTCCCACCCGGCTCTGCTCCCGTCTCTCGCCTGCCCTCTCTTTCCCCCCCCCTCCCGCCTCCCTGGTGCTGGCAGCCAGCTTGGTTCGCTCGGTCCAGGGAGTCTCAGCCTGCCGTGGCGGCGTCTCCAGCTCACTGCCCACGCCCAGCACGGGCACTCCGCCCCTCCTGCCTCCTGCTTTGTCTCTCCTCTCCTCCAGCCTGCCTTGCCAGATTTCCTCCTCCCTCATTGTCGGGTGTTGCCAAGAAGCTGTCCCTGGCCCGACGTGCTTCCAGGATTTCTGGGGAGGCCCACACGGCCCCTGGAGCACTTTTCACGCTGCCCTGGGGGCCCCGTGGGCACCACACTGGCGCGAAAAGCCATGGGGCACCTTGGGACAGGACCACTTCGTCGGACAACCCCCAGAGTGGTGGCGGAAAGTCGGGGCCCTCCTCCTCCTCCTCCTCCTTCTCTTCCTCCTTCTCTTCCTCCTCATCCTCCTCCTCCCTCCTCCTGGCACCTGTGCCACAGGGGCCCCTTCCCAGGAAAACAGGCGGGTAGCAGCCCGTTCGTCACCCTTGTTTGCCCGTGAGGGGCCAAGGGGAGAGAAAATTGCTCTCGTCGCCAGCGGCCACCCGTGGTGTGGGTGGTGGGTATGTTGGGCGTCGGAACACGGCCCCGGCGCCCCCTACCCCGAACAGGGCGCGCGGAGCACGGTTTCCTTGCGTGCCCTGTTTCGCGCACCTCTCGCGCCACGGGGGCACGGTTCTGGACCGCTGGCGCCGCACTGTCCTCTGTATGCTGTCCTGTTGGCTCTGTCTAGCAGGAGCGTGCAGAGGCAGTGCTTACCGTCTGGTTTTGCCACTCGGTGCAACCAGCGTCTCCCCCCGCTGCAGGTTGTGTGTCTTCCTCTGTCAGGATCTGGAGGCGATGCCGTTGATGTCAAAAAAGACATCCCTCCTCTTCTTCCTGCTCCCTTCTCCTCCTCCTCCTCCTCCTCCTCCTCCTCGTCTTCCTTCTCCTCCTTTCCTCCTCCTCCTCCTCCTCCTCCTCCTCCTCCTCCGCCTCCGCCTCCTCCTCCTCCTCCTCCTCCTCCTCCTCCTCCTCCTCTCAGGCAAGCCACGGGAGTAATTGCTCGAAGCGTCCTCCTCCTCCTCCTCCGCCGCCGCCGCCGCGTGTGGGGGCTGCTGCAGCTGCTGCAGCTTTTGCTGCTGCTACTGCTGCTTCTGCTGCTGCAGGGCGTCAGCTTCGTCTGGCAGCCCGCGTGCGGCGCGCCCCGCCCCTCCCTGTGCTGCTGCTGCTGCTGCTCCTTCTTCATCCTCCGCCTCTTCCTTCCCCTCCCTGCCCCCTTGGGCCGTCTTGGAGCGTCGAAAGCCCGAGAAGTCGAGAGCACAATCGTTCAAAAATATGGGAACGTCAATGATTTTGACATCTTGTGGCCCTTTATGGCGCTCTTCAAGAGGCCCCTTCAGAGAGCCCCTCAGGGAGTCCGTCAGGGAACCCTTCAGGGAGTCCTTCAGGGCGCTCTTTTGTTCGGCTCTTCTGGGCCCGTCCCTCTCAGAGGGCCTCTTGGAGGCCTCTTGGGGCGTCTTGGGCCCCCCCCTGCCGCCACCGTCGCCTGCCCGGCGCTGTCGGAAACCTGCCGCCCGCTGGCGTCGGGAGCTCCTGTGCGCGCGTTTCTCCCTGGCCTCCCAGCTCGGGCGGGTGCTCACGCAGGATCGCCTCGCGCAGCCCCGACGCCGCCATGCACCTGCCGCCGCCGCCGAAACCTGCCTCCTCGTCCTCCTCGTCCTCCTCCTCCTCCTGCTCCTCCTCGTCCTCCTCCGCCAATCCTTTTCCTTCTGAGTAACTCCTCCCTGTCGCACCCCGGGGCAGGAAATTGCGACCCCGCGGATGCGGGGCGCTTTTGCGCGGGTGCCCCGCGCGGAACGTCTCCGTGTGATCGCGTATCCGCGGGATCGCGCCCCGAGAATCCAGACCGCGAGGGCACAGATACAAACACGTTCGCTGCTCGCGAAGCTGTGGAAGTGTACCTTTTCTTGGCGAGGGGATCTACACAACAAAATCGCCGAAGAGGATCCACACATCAAAAACGCGCATATGTTCATGAAAATATGGGAAGGCAGTGGAGGGAATGAAAAACTCCGCCAGGAAGGATACTGCAACTTACGAAGGTTCCCGGAATACGTGCAGATCTGTTTGTGCCTCCCTTCCCCGCTTCGCAATCGTCGTCCGGGCTCGTCTTCCCGCGCTGGACCCCGCCGCCCCTGGCCTGTTGTCGCAGCAGCCGCCGCGTGCCGAGCGGTGGGGCCCGTCGCGCCACACGCTCGGAGAGCGTTCTGACCCCTGAGCCGCCCGCCCCGCCCTTGCTTTCCTTCGGCCGCTCCCTCCTCCTCCTCGCCCCTCTGGGCATGGTGGCACACTTCGCTCTGTCGGCATCCCCGCTCGAGCCTCTCATCGCCGGCGCAGTCACCCTCTGCCTAGCCTTACGTCGGGCGTGTCCCCCATACAGGGGGACTGTTCGTCAGAAGTCAATATGAGGACGATTCTGTGAGTATTTGTGAGTATATATATATATATGTATTTGTTTGACAATTTCTTGTTTTTCGTCCCGGATCCGCCTGTAGGAGGACACGCCCGACCTAAGCCCAGCCGCCGAGCAAAAACCTGTCTGTGCCTCCCTGGGCCTCCCTGGGGCTCTCGGCCCGCCGGAGGCGCAGCAGGCCTACTGCGAGGCCCGCGCCGCGCTGCGCGGCCCAGCGCCGTCGACAGGCCAGGGGGGCGCCGCGGCACCACCGGGGGGGTCTGGACCTCGGAGGAGGACACCAGAGGCGACGATAGGGGCGAATAGCCCAAGGGAGAGCCATACATGTATCCAGGGGCGCCGATGATCTATGTCTTCGACAAGGCTCCCGGGCGAATGCATGTAATGCCCGCCCCTGGGCTATTCGTCCTTATCGTCGCCGCCGAGAACACCCAGACCCCCCCGGGTCATGAACAGATCACGACGGGAAGTTTTTCGCCATTTTCGGGGTCTCTCCTCCTCCTCGTCGTCGTCGTCGTCGTCCTCCTCCTCCTCCTCCTCCTCCTCCTCGGGGGCCTTTTGTCGGCCTTCGGGACCGTCAAGAAACGAGTCAGGACGAAAAACCGGTCCCAGGGAACGGGTCCAGATCGCTGGGGGTCCACGTCATGAAACAGTCATGGCGTGTGGGGTTTGGGAAATCTACTCATGCCGCAACCCCTCTTCAGTTTTTTTCCCGTCTGGGAGGCCCTCGTCGCCACCGCTGGATCCGTCTCGAGATCCTGGTCAGAAAGCACCCCAGGAGATGTCCGGGGAGTAGCGGTATCGGCACCTGTTGGCTTCCCAGAACCAGTACAGTACGTGGACGGCCAGGAACTTTGGCTCAGCGTGTCGCTCTGCCGGTTCGGGTCCTCAACGCTTCGGCGCCACACGCTATCCACGTCACCGTTCCCAGACCCGCCCTGCGGAGCGGAACGACACGCCATCCGCTTGCGCAAGGCATAATTAGCGTATCGCCAGGGCCGCCGCCGCGACACGCTAAACAATTCTTCCTGACCGTAGGCCTCCCAATTTGGATCCGAGCAGATGGGGCGGAGGATCGCGCCGCATCACGACTGTTTCGGCGGTGCCGCTCGAAGTGGAGCTCGATTTTCTCCACGCCGGCGGAGCCGACGCAGTGCCGATGCAGCGGCGATGCGGCGCGATCGGCCGGCCCCATCGACTCGGACCCCACTGGGGAGGCCTCTAGTGAATGGGTTTCTCCGAGGCGGGGATTGATACACAACCACCGCCTGGGGGAATCGATGTTCAGGGCCTCGGCCGGCGGCAGACATGGCTACATCCGGGTCTGTATCCACCTCCGCCGCCTGCCGAGGTCCACGGAGCCCGATCCCCTCGGCAGTGGTTCTGGAGAGAGCTCTGCCTCACATACCTCGCCCCGGGCAGCTTCTTCCCGCGCCCGGCGCTTCTCCTTCGGGGCCCTGTCGTTGGCCGCCCGATGTGATTCTTTTTCCCAGAGATGGATGACAGGACCTTGTCGAGCCCCTCCCTTTGGAGACCCCCCCTCTCTTTTTTGTTCTTCTGTTTTTATCATGCTCACTCTTTTTGCCACTATCTAGTCGAATCAGAGTGGCATGTGGTTGATGAGTACGGAACGTTCCCATACCAGCGTTGAGCGAGCGAGCGGGGTCGGCGGAGGCGGGGGCTGGCCCGTGGAGGTGCAGTATATGTACTTGTTCCCGGCGCCGCCGCCTCGTCGCTGCCTCGTCGCCTCGGCATGTGCGCGCCGGTCCAGTGGCCGTGTCGTCGCCGTCGCCGCCCCGTCGCCGCCTCGTCGCCGCCCGTCGCCTGGGCCTCTGTCGAAGGACCAAAAACGGGATGAACATATTTTGGCGCTCCGCGCGGATTGGATCTGCGGTGGGACCCCCCAGCGGCGCCTCCGGCACCGCCCCTGGCGCACTCCGCGCGTCAGGGAAGGGGTCCAGCTCAGATCCAAGAAATCCGCGCGGACCATCAACAATTTGTGGTTCAGCCGTTTTTTTGTTCCTTTACTTTGGCGGTCTGGCGGCTATGTCGTCGCCGTCGCCGCCCCGTTGGTTTTCTTTTTCTAAAAAGAGAATAGATTATAACCCCTCGGATTATCGACGCCCCGCTTCGTATTGCAATTTGCAGATGGTTCCGCCCCAGCGTCCATCCGAACTGTGAGTTCGTACCATCCCAGCCAGGCCGGTATCGACCCCCCCGACATCCTTTGCACAAGAAAAATGTGCGCGCAGTCGTTTATCAAAAAGCATCAATTTGCAAGAATCCCTGGCAAGAAGCATGGACGAAGTGCGCACGCGCGCGTCGTCCCGCGCGCATGCCGCAATCCTTCGAAACTCTCGGTTTCGCGCCTTTGCGCGCGTGCCGTCGCGCGAATCCTTTGCAACAAATGGGACGAAGTGCGCGCCCGCGTCGTCGCGCGCGCATTCCGAAATCCGTCAACAATTTTAGGTTTCGTAGCGATTTCACAACCGAGTGTCCAACAAACATACAAAAACACATGGTTTCGCAACAACAGTGTTCAAAAAACCGTGCGCTCGCGCTCTTGCTCGTTCTTGAGGAAATCATCGGTTTTTCAACTTTTTCATGGAATGCTGCCGAACGGGCATTTGGCGCCGCATGCCGACATGATTCGCACGCCCTTGCGCGCGTGCTGGGGGGGCGCGATCCGTGTAAAATAAAACCGTGCGGGCCACTCTCGCGCGTCGGCCGCTCGCGCATGTCGAACCCTTTCCGAACCTTCATCACCGACGCGTGGGCGCCGTCATCGTCGTCGGCGTGATCAGCATGGGCGCCCGCACTGGCCGCGCCGTCGTCGCTGTCAACCTCATCACCAGCATCGCTAGTATCACCATCGTGTCTGCCGTTGACGACGTTGCCATGATACCGCGCCCGCCCAAGTCGCCGACTCGCAGTGACAATCTTGCTGGGGTGTGCCCACCTGTCAGCGCTACCGCGGCCGCGTCGGTCGCGCCAAACTAGCTGGCCGCTGCGCGCGCGCTTGGGTTGGCGCTGCCGCGGAGATGGACCAGCTAACGCCAAACACTCATCGCCATCGCCACCGAATGGGCTTTGCAAGCCAAGTTGCGGGTGGGTGGGTCGGATGTTTGCAAAAGCGTGGGAGGTGTCAACTCGTTTGTTAAAGTCAATAACACCACGTAGATTGCACCACGCCGATTTTCCGTTATAAGAAGACAGTCGGTTCTTCCCCCCTCCCCCCGGGGGTCAGAAAACACCCGGGAACCATTGCAAAACACATCGGATTGTGACCCACTGTCCATTATTCCCGTGATTTCATACTATCCCGGCCAGGCCAGTATCGATCCCCCCGCCATGTTTTGTAGAAGATACTATGCGCGCGCACTCGTTTATCAAAAATCACAGGTTCCCAGTATTCCCTTGCAAAAAACGGGGTTGAGTGCACACGCGCGCGTCGTTGCGCGCGCATGCCGAAGTCCTTCGGTAACTTTCGGCTTCGGAAAGCTTTCAGTATCGATTTTCCAAACATCATACAAACACATTTGATTTCGCAGCACTGGTTTTCTACAAAGCACGCGCGCGCTCTTGCGACATCCCCAAAAAACCATTCGTTTTCAATATTTTCAGAAAGTGCTACCAAACGGGCTTCGCGCGCGCATGTCGAGAATCCTTTTGCAAAAAACGTGAAAAAATGCACGCGCGCGCGTCGTCGCGCGCGCATGCCGAAATCCTTCAAAAACTGACCGTTCCGGAAAGATTCCAAAATCGCGTGTCCAACAAATATTCAACAGAAGGGGGTCTCGCAACACGGATTTTCAACAGAAGCGTGCGCGTGCGCTCTTGCGTCGTCGCGTCGTCGTCGTCGTCGTCGTTTCCGTCGTCGTTGTCGCCGTGGTCGTCCTTCCTCCTCCCTCGTCGTCGTCGTCGCCGTCGTCTGCGTCTCGTCGTCGTCCCTCCTATTTCGTCGCCGTCGTCGTCGTCGTCGTCGTCGTTGTCGTCTTCCATCCTCACTCGTCGTTGTCGTCGTCGGCGTCGCCGTCCTCCCCCCTTCGTCGTTGTCGTCGTTGCCGTCCTCCCTCCTCCCTTGTAGGTGTCGTCGTTCGCGTCGTCGCCGTCTTCCCTCCTCCCTCGTCGTCGTCGTCGTCGTTTTCGTTGGTGACGTCGTCGTCGTCGTCGGCGGCGGCGTCGTCGGCGTCGTGGTCGTCGTCGTCGTTGTCGGCGTCGTCGTCGTCGTCGTCGGCGTTGTCATCGTCGTAGTCGTCGTCGACGTCGTCGTCGGCGTCGGCGTCGTCGTCGTCGTTGTCGTCGTTGTCGTCGTCGTTAAAGTCCTAACAGACGTCGTCGGTGTCGTCGTAGTCGGTGTGGGCGGCGTCGTAGTCGTCGTTGTCGGTGCCGTCGTCGGCGTCGGTGTCGTTGCCAAGTGCTATCTGGTACTTACCGTCACGGTCTTAAGAGGTCTTGCGGCCAAATTGCGGGTGCGAGGGTGGGATGTTTGCACGCGCAGTGGAGAGGACAGCTTCAAGTTGAGCAAGTGATTGATTGTAGAACACAGATTGCACCACAATTCTTGCACCACGTAGACTGCTTTCCCAAAAAGCGTGCGTTCGTGATCTTGCGAATTCGTAAGAGAGCCATAAGTTCTGCAACATGTTCATGGCATTCTGCCAAGCGGGCCTCTGGCGCCACATGCAGACATCATTCGCACGCCTTTGCGCGCGTGCTGGGGGGGGCGCGATCCGTGTCAAATAAAACCGTGCGGGCCACTCGCGCGTCGGCCGCTCGCGCATGTCGAACTGTTTCCAAAACTTTACGCGGGGACGCCGTCATCGTCGCCGGCGTGGTCAGCATCGGTGCCGTCATTGGCCGAGCCGTCGTCGTTGCCAACATCGTTACCAGCATTGCTACTATCATCACCGTGTCTACCGTGTCGACGTTGCTATGATACCGCATTCGCGTCGGTCGCGCCAAACTAGTTGGCCGCTGCGCGCCCGAGCATGCGCGGGTTCGCGCGGCCACAGAGATGCAGCAGTCAACACCGATCATTCATGGCAATCGCCACCGCGTGGGTTTTGCAAACCAAGTTGCGGGTGGGTGGGTGGGATGATTGCGCGCACATTGGAATCGACAATTTCAAGTTCGGCAGGGCGAATTCTCGTTTATTACAAGGAATTAGATTATACCCCCTTCCGGGATTTTCGATACCCTTTTTTTCGTAGTGCAATTTACGTAT